TTTAGGGTCCCTAAACCCTAAACCCTAAACCCTAAAAGGGTTCCTTTAAGGGTCTTTGGGGCTTTAGGGTCTAGGGTTTCGAGGTTTAGAGGATTTGGCGGCTTCGGGGTTTTGGATTCTTTCGGGTTGGTTCCAGGGCTTGATTAGGGCTTTGGGCTTAGGAGCTCTATCCCTAAACCCTGAGCCCTAAACCCTAAACCCTATACCCTAAATCCTAAACCCTATACCCTAAATCCTAAACCCTATACCCTACACCCTAAACCCTATAAGGGTTCCTTTAAGGGAATCTCTCCTTCGAGGATCCCTGAAAGGAGGCCTTTGAGGATTAGTAGGAACCCTTAGGATCCTTGGAGGAACCCTTGCAGGAACCTTTAAAGGAACCCTTAAAGGAACCCTAAACCTAACCCTTACAGGAACCCCGAAAGGAACGGACACCCGCGTAGGAACCCTAATGGGGTTGAGGGTTCAAGGTTTAGGGTTCGGGCTTTCGAAACCTCGTAACCCTAAGCCTTTATAGAGGAGCCCTTTAAAGGAACCCTGATTTTCGGGTATTAGGGTCTAGAGCTCTAACAAACAACACGAATTCGGAATCCTTTTCCAGTGCTGATAACACCTCCCTAAGGGTCCAAAGGACCCAAATATTGGGTACTTAGGTTGAAGTCAATATTTGAGAGAGTATATGACTATTCATACTTAAGCACTTGGACCCTTACTTTACGGATTTTTAACCTACCCTAAACCCTAAACCCTCAGCCGAACCTCCAAGTACGGCTTGCTGCCGAGAGGCTGCGACACGTCGACTTCGAAGCGCCGGGCGTTGTAGAGCTGCGGTATGAGGCCTCGTGAATTGAAATTGTGTTTAGGGTTCGGAGCTTAGGGTTTCGGGTTTAGGGTTTATTAGGGTTTAGGGTGAATTGAAATGGTGTTTTAGGGTTCAGGGTTTAGGGCTTAAGGACCTTTAAGGGATGTATAGGGGTACTATAAGGGTTAGGTTTTAGGGTTCAGGGTTTAGGGCTTAATTGGAGGATCATGAGACTTAGTAACTAAGGTTATAAGTACCCTAATTGGGGTTATAAGTAATTATAAGTCTAGTTACCTTATTTATAACCCTAGTTAAGAAGTCCCATGAACCTCTAAGTAGGGACTAGGGAATAACCCCAAACCCTAAACCCCGGAACTCCTAAACTCTAAACTCTGATGAAGCCCAGCCACCTATGCTATGTGGCGGCTACTTTAGGGTTTAGGGTTTAGGGTTTAGGGACGTGAACCCATGATTACAAAGCCGTGGAAGTAGAACCCTAGTATAGCAACCCACGATGTCGTTAGCAGGGCTTTGCAAGGACTCCTAACCAGGGCACCTCCGAAACACCTTACCCTAAACCCCTAGATCCTTTACACTCCGAAACCCAAAACCCTAAACCCCTAAATCCGGAACATGGGTTTAGGATAAGTAGTGTTGGAGGGTAGCGATGTCGCAACCTTCGGGCTACTATATGTAAGCCCTAAGCCACGGAAGACGGATCCCGGCTTCTGGAATGCCAACAAGTAACACACATCAGCGATGGAAGGGACGTCGCCAACCTTGGCATGCACATCTGCGCTGAGGTTCAGGGGATTTAAGAAGGCTTGGGCTTGGTAGACTTATTAAGCCATTGACGGCCATTCCTGCAGACATCTGAAAGTCACCGAGAATATGTTTGCATTTAACATAAGCTTGCAAACCACTAGACAGCAAAGACGGGTACCAAATCCTCCGACCCACCGACCTTGCAAGCGGAACCCTGGGTCTTCGGATCTTCATATCAGGGTTCAGGGTTCATGGCCTAGGGGTTTAGGGTTCAGGGCTTAGGGTTGAGGCATGTAGCAGCTTTAAGGGCACCCTTGCATGCAAGGATAAAAGGGTCATATCCCAATCCAAACCCCAAACCCTAAATCCCAAGCCTAAGCCCTCGGGTCTGCGGGTTCAGGGGCTCTACAAAGAAGCTTCAACCTGGAGGATCGTGGGGCTTAGTAATTAAGGTTACAAGCACCTCAGCTGGAACTATACATAACTACACACCTTAGTTAGTCTTATTTATAACCCGAGCTTCTAAATCCCATGATCCTCCAAGTACCACTTACTCAAAGGGTCGGGTTTAGTTTAGAGGTTCATGTTGCATACCCCACAGGTTACAAACTACAACGAGCGGTGTAGATCCATGAAGTTGACCCTTGACATTGAAGGCAACCACCTTATGGCTCCACTGAAGGAAGAACTTTAGTTCACTTTGGCACTGTGCAAGAATTCTATGATAGGATCCTAACCATAAAACTAGCAAAACAAAAACAGTGCAAAGGAGACCATACGTAATCACAACCTGCCCTCAGCCCTAGACCGTGAAGCGTCACCCACACATATTTTCTTTTTCCCTAAACTCTAAACACTAAACCTTAAATACCTTAAAGCCTCCACCCTACATGCCCAAATAAAACCTTCTTACCAGCGTCCTCTGAACCTTCAAGTAAGAAGGCTGCTCCTGAACCCTAAGCCCGAAGCCCCTAAACTCTAAACCCTAAACCTTACACCCGAATTTCTTAAACCATGAACCCTAACTCTTAACTTCCTTTTTTTCAGCCCCGGACCGCGTAACGGCCCGCGGAACGTGCGACCAGGTTCTCACATGCCTTGCGCACACAGGGATTAGGGTTTAGGGTCCCCAACGCGATTTCGTGAGCAATACTTTTGGGTTTGTTTTCGGTTTTCGGGTTTTGTAAGGATGTCGGGTTCATGGGCAAAGTCGCCCTGGAAGCCCATGTACTTTACACAGGAAGTCATACTTTGTAAGACTACAAACTTAGTAAAGTCGCCTTTTCTACAGGTGACTGGGATACCCGAAACTGATTACAAGAATCTTTCCAGAGTCTGCGGAGTTCTAGAGAAGCCTTTGTGATTAGACTAGGGTTTGGGGGTGAAAACAGGTACGCTAGGCTAGTCTGCACTATAAATATAGTACTGAGCCCCAAGGAATAGTATTGCTAATCGTTTAGGCTTCTATGATCCCTGGACCAAGTACACCCCGAATGGCTGTAGACTTGTGGATGACCTTTGTGTAGATCAGCAACAATAAGGCAGCACAAGCTAGGGTCTGCGTATTCCGACTATGCTAAAATCAGCCCTAGCCTCAAAAGTGACACCGGGCATGACTTTCAAGATTCCAGATCGAGACCCTTATGGAACAATAAGTGCAGCCCATTCTAAGCCTATAACATCCTAAAAAAGCCTATAAGATCCACTGTAGACCGCTAGAACACCCAGCAACACGCGATAACAAAGCATGAACTAAGCCGGGCTGATGGCGTGCTTTAAGCTTAAGGGGGGTCCGTGCTGCTAGGGGTGGTGACGAAAGAAGATGATGACATGCTTCTAGTATAGGGCCCTTCATGTTTAGAAGAGGGTGTTGTGCAATTCCAATTCCAAGATACAGTATAGTAGGTTAGTAGTCATTCCAGGGCTTCTAGATCACGATTTTAAGTCTCTGGTTCAAGGCATCGGGGGGGTGGTAGGAGGGGCGGAAGGGCTTGGGGAAACGGAGCTGGACCTTGTGAATTTTGAAGCCTAAACCCTAAACCCTAAAACCCTAAACCCTAAAACCCTAAACCCTAAACCCGCTTAGGGGCTTGGATTTCTCGCGGGGTTTGGGCTTTCGAGTTCTCTGGGGCTCACCGGGTTTAGTCCCTCGAGGCCGGCCTGAAGGCCCTTCAGCACTGCTGCATTTGCGAAGCCTGCAGCATCAGGTGTGCCAGGCTCGGTGCTGAATAGGGTTTAGGGTTTAGGGTTTTGGGTCTTGGTTTAGGGTTTAGGGTTTAGGGTTTTGGGTTTTGGTTTAGGGTTTAGGGTTTGATGCAAGGTTCAGAGTAGGATTGAGCTGGGTCTACAGAGTCCTCATCCTTATTTTCATCGTCATCATCACTCATCACCAGCGTCAGACCAGTATGGGCCAATGGCCCTAAACCCTAAACCCTGAACCCTAAAGCCAATGGTAGGGAAGCTTAAGGGGTTCACAAGGAGGCAGCGGTCGCAATCCGAAGTCTGCAACAAACACCAACTCCGAGCCAGTTCCTTGCACCATTCACCCTGAAAGTCAGGCCAAACGACTCCCCCAAACCGAATCATGATCTCGAAGACCAATCACAACCGACCCCTATGCGGTAATATGGGGCCCTGAATGTCTTTTTGGGCTCCATGAGAACCATGAGCTCTGCTAATAGGCAGGCTGTTTCAGATTCAGAGCTCGGATTGCACATTCCTCCTTGCCGTGATGTTTCCCCATGCTGCATCTTAGTCAGATGCCTCCGGAATCACCCAAGTCGGCATGTCGGCTCGCATGTACCGCAGCGCCCAAGCGAGCTCGTAGGAAACATCATAGAGATGCCCCACCACCTGCTGGTTCTCCTACGTGGAGGGTGGCAGACAGGCCTCCAGGAAGCGGGGCGCGGCTCCATCTGGCACAGCGACTGCGATGTAGGCAGCAACCCGCTTGACCAATGACGGCAAGCCAGGTCCGGTGTGCTTGGAATGCTGCAACAGAATCTTCTCTGGCGCCACCTGGGTCTTGGGTCTGTCAACATGCAGCCATAGGGTTTTAGGTATATGGCAGTATATGAACACATGAAACTCTACTGCTAATCATACCTGATCCTCATGCTCCAAACGTTCTCAGTCCTAAGCCCTCGTCAACTCTAACTCCGCCAAACGTACTGTCCTGCAATAACTACGACCTCCAAACCAAATTACCTAACGCTTTGAACTCTAATGTTTAGGGTCACTACGACATCAAAACCAAAGTATCTAACATTTCGGGAACCGTAACCCTCAACCCCAAACCTTGCAACAAAAACCCTGCCTAAACCTTACCTGGACCCGAAAGCACATACCTTCATTATTAAATTGTATTTTCTTTATCTAAGTCCTTCAAGAAGTAGGTTATTTGGGGTGAAGGTAAACCCTAAACCCTAGAAGCCTCGACCGTCCACCTCATGGCCGTCCACCGACGCAGACTTCACCTCAGACAGGTTTAGGGTTCGGGGCTTTAGGGTTAAGGGGTTTAGGGTTTAGGGGTTGGTGCTTTACGGTTTAATCTTCGACTTTGGCATGCATGGTGCCATTATTACGATTCTTCCTGTTCTTGTTTGTTCAAGACCTCTTAAAGCACGGCTAGGGTTTAGGAAGCTTAGGGTTCAGGGTTTGGGGTGGAGGGGTAAGAGTTCAGCGTGCAGGGCTCAACTTGCAAGAGCTGACACCCGCATAAACTCGGTCGGGCCGAATCCGCGATCTGTGCTGCCACAATGAAGGTTTAGGGGTTAGGAGGTCTAGGGCTTTGCGGCTGAAGGTTTAGGGTTTAGGGGTTAGGGGCTTTGGGTTTAGGGTTTCAGGTTGGGGCTTAGGGCATGTTCAGGGGGTTGGGAGCTACGGCTGCATCGCGGCCTCTCGATGAGGCGACCTGCCCTTGGCCTTTACATCTAAGGTTGAACCCATGGGCCCCTAACTTGGGCCCTTAGGGGATTCTAGGGTCCCTTAAGGGTATATATAGGGTATATATTAGGTATATTAGGGTCCCAGGGTTAAGGGCCCATACTAGGGGCCCATGGGTTCTACCTTAGATTACAATTATAACAAGGCTTTTAGGGTATAAGGCTTACCTTCCAAGTAGTAGGGCCTTGGGGTTGAGGGACTTAGGGTTGTCTGCTCAGGAAATAGACAGGGCGCTGTACCGGCTGAATGTACTTGGGTTTAGGGTTTAGGGGGTTTAGGGTTTAGGGTTTAGGTACTTCCTCAAAAGAAATCCGAATCCCCTAAAGAAGGCGCCTTAAGTCATCTGTCTTTCTTCCCGAGAAGCCCCATCCAGAAGACACCCTGCCATAACATGCTCTTAAAGCCGTAGCAGCGCTGTAGCTCCAGAGCCCAAGCACTACGAGCTTCCAGAGAAAAGAAACCTACCGCAGAGGAAGGGCTATTCCGTGGTATCTAATTCTCCAAAAACTAGTCAAAGCAACCAAAAATGAAACCCCACAGCCCTACTCGAGCTATATGAGCACGGCGTATAAACACGAAGTGTTCAAGACTGCCCGTTGTAAGAACATTAGCTTGTGCAGATAACTGCCAATAAAACTCTCAAGGTTCCTTAAAGCATAATTGTTATCATAGCTTACTATATGCCAAGACCCTGTTCGAACTGTAGGGCCCGCTGTGGGAGTCACGATACGGAGCTCTCGGGCTTTCTGAGAAGCCTTGCTTGCAGGATCTAGGGTAGCCTCCGAAGTAACCGTACTACGTAGGACCCTACTGAATATCCACTCTCCGCGCAGAGGATCATGTGACTTAGCAACTATAGGGCTAGAGGTACCTATAGTAACTATATAGCTAGGATTACTTACAGCTTCCAGTCAAGAACTTACTTACAGCTTTTTATGACCTTACTTACGAAGTCCCATGATCCTCTAAGTAAGGCCCCAGACCCTCCAAGTGACCTAGAACCCCGGCAGCCTACTTCCCGGTTCCTGATAGTTTGTAGCCCGAGCAGCAGAGTTCAGGACGCACACATTCTGCAGAGGCTGCCTGCCAGGGCGCAAGAGCCAAACACTTGTTTAGGTCCTGATGCTTCATTGAATCTAATTAAGGAATCTTGCTGAAATGCGGCTTGGTTTGGTGAGTGGAACCTGTGACCTCATATCTGAAGCCTTAAAGGCTAGTTTAAAGGTCTCAAGGAATCGCCTTGAGGCTTGGCATGACTCAATAAACCACCTTCAAAGCTTGAGATATCTGGGTGTAGAGGGTGCGTAATCTGAGCGCTCTCAAGAGACATTCAAACTTTACAGCACGTGACCTAAACCCTAAACCCTAGACCCTAAACTTCAGTTCACCTTCTGAGACAAACTGGAGACCCTTCTCTGCGACATAGATAAGCCGAGGGCAATCGCGAAGCCCAAGGGAAAGGGTCTGTTGGATTCCTGGATATTTAGGGTTTAGGGTTTAGGGTTTTTAGGGAAGCAGCCCTTCAACCGGAGGTCATGCACAGCGACTGGCGATCTAAACCAAGGGTTTAGGTTAGGACTCAGGGACCTTAAACCCTAGACTCTAACTTCATGGCAGCTGGGAGTGTGACATTTATGAATTCGTGTTACCCGAGAAGGATTGGGGAGGCAAGGAACCTGACATTGACCCCATGCCCACCCTAAATCCGAAACCTAAGCCCTCAACCACCCTAAACCCTAAACTCTGAACCCCAACCCGGAACCCGAAACTTGGACCTAAACCCTCAACCGCTGATGTCCTGCCGTGGAGACATCGATTCGAACAGGGTTTTGAGGTTAGTAGATGTATAAGATCGTGTCCTAACCCGTAGACTTTTTTTATAGCAGGCAGTCTAGGAACCAGATTAAGAAACCCTGGGTCTTTATTCGGGTTCTTTGTATGAACCCTAAGTTTTTTGGGGGTTATCGGGCAAGGGTTTCTTAACCAGGTTCCTACGTTACCTTTTCGGGGCGGGAGCCTGGTCCCAAGTCAGTCCTAAACCCTACTTGGAGGATCATGGGACTTAGTAAGTAAGGTTATAAGTACCCTAATTGGGGTTATATGAAATTGTAAGTCTAGTTACCTTATTTATAACCCTAGTTACTAAGTCCCATGAACCTCTAAGAAGGCAGTGCTGGCCGAGGTGCGTTCCGGAGTTTATCACTTCCTGGGCTGGGCACGGAGGTGTTTTTAGGGTCGCTGGTAGCATAGGAGGCTCCTGGAAGGCACTCCTAGAGTTTTGGGTTTGGGGTTTAGGGTGTAGGGTTGGCACTCTAGGGTGTAGGGGTTTTGGTTCTAGGGTTGCATGAAGGGCTCGTAATATCAGGGTCCATGCAGCTTTCTGCACTCAGGCGGCAAGGAGCTATGTCAAAATTTCTCGCGTAAGGATTGCGAGCTGTATGAAGCCCTGCGGTAAAGCGTCAAATGTCAGAAACCCAAAAACCCCAAGCCCAGGCTGCTTTCAAAGCTCAGGGGTTACTTGATCTGGATCCGGGGCTAATTACGGCCATAAACCCTAAAGCCCCGAAGCCCATGATCCTAAAGCCTCAACCATCTAAACCCTAGAAACCCTTAACCTTAAGGCATCAACACCCTTAATTAAATCCTAGAAGCCCTTAATTGAACTCTAGAAACCTTTGAACCTAAGGCATCAAAACCCTAAACTCTCAAACCATCGGCTTCAAGGCACAGAACCCCAATCGACTTCTAATTCATACATTAGCATGGAGTTTAGGGTTTAGGGGAGTAGGATTTAAGGGTTTAGGGGTTTGGCGTTACGGGGTTGAGGGGTTTGAGTGTCTAGTTATATGCTCCAGTGTAGCTGCTTTTCTGGCTTAAATAATATCCCCAAACCCAAACCCCATAAACCCTAATAGCCGAAACCTTGAACTCCTAAACCCTGAACCCCCAAACCCTGAACACCATACCCTAAACCCAAACACCCCTGCAGACCCTACTAGCCCCGACCCCCACTCCGAACCACTGAAAACACTCAAACCTAAACCCTGACCCCTAAACCCCAAAACCTTAACAGCCCAAACCCTACACCCTAAACCCTAAACCCTGAACCCCAAACCCTAAAGCCCAAACCCCAAACACCCAAACCCTATTAAACCCCCAAACCCCTTAGCCCCAAACCCCCAAATCCGCGCAAGACAGCTCCAAGCTGCGGCGATCTCGAGAGCCCGAGCTCTCCGGAGTGAGCCTCTTACTGTTGAAACTGCTTAATTTGAAGGGCTCCCTTAAAGGGATCTACCAGGGTTCCTTCAAGGGATCTATCAGGGCTCTTCTAGGGTTCAGGGGATTAGAGCTTTAAGGTTTTAAGGCTTTCGAGCTTTAGGGTTGTAGGATTCAGGGATTTTTCTTCAAGTTGCAAAGCTTTATTGCTTCCGCGCTTAAGGATTTAGAGCTTGGGCGCTTTGGGACACGTTCATGCCACCCACCAGCCCAGAACCGAAGCCGTCCGCACATCTTTCGGTGTAGAGTAGAGCCTAGAGTTGGGTTTGAAGGGCGTGTGTCTTTATCGCAGGGTGAAAACTCAATCCCTTTTCGAGCTTGCGCTTTTTTTGCGGAAGGTCCAGGGGAGACAGCAGGGAATTCTTTGCAATGGAGGGTATATGGTCTTCTTTAGGGCATGGGAGTCTCTCTGTTTTGGCTTTGGAGATAAAATATACAGAAACAAGGCTCGTAGGACATGTGCTAGGGGCAATATAGGGGCCTTTATTGATAGTTAGACTAGGGTGTTGGGGCCCATTATACTATAATGATAATAAGGAGCCTCCAAAATAGCATTGGTGATATTTTAGGCTTCTACATTACTTTGGTGATCCTTGCAAACGACCTACATCCCTAAACCCCAAACCCTATTCCCCCCTAAACCCACCCCAAACCCTAAACCCTAAACCCTAAACCCCAAACCCTAAACCCCCCTAAACCCGAAACCCTGAACCCCCTGAAACCCTGGATCCCCCGCCGAAATCGCCAGCAGGAGGGGCCTCTTAGGGTGCTTTGGAGGGTTCAGCGTTTAGGGTCCTTTTTAAAGGTCTCCGAATCTGAGCAAAAAAACCTGAGGGTTTAGGTTTTTGTTTGGTGTTCTTGCGAGGGCCCCCATAGGCTTTTATGAGCTCTATATATCCTTACTGCGAGCTTGAAGACCTAAACCCTAAACCCTAAACCCTAAACCTAAACTCTAAACCGTTGAAGCGGTATCGGAAAGCTGCAGGAACTTGGTTAGGGGCTTCGTTTAGACTGAGGGACTTCGGGATCATGGTTTAGGGACCTTAAGGGTGAGGGTTTAGGGTTTAGGGTTTAGGGTTTAGGGTTTAGGGTTTAGGGTTGAGGGTTTAGGGTTCCCAGAACTTCGGGAGTTTCGGGGCCAAGAGCTGGAGGGCTTCAGCGATTCAGTGTCACAAGAGCCTTCAGACAGTGTCTGAAGGCCCTTGAGCGGTGCGCAGCTTGGGGGAATGAGGTAATTGGGGCTGTAACATGCTCCACCGTACTTCCTTTTGCAGTTCTCTTATTCTAAGACCCGACACAAAACAATACTGGGTTGAACCAAAAACATACGATGGAGACGACAAGTAGGGTTCAGGATGTCAAGGAAAAGGCTGACCAATATCCAGCAGAAGGGCCTTCGGCAGTTCCGTCGGCAGGTGGGATCAGGGGCGCATGCTCGCACACAGAGTCCTGAGGTGTGAACCCGGGCTTAAAGGGTTTAGAAAGGGTTTAGGGCTCAGGGTTTTTCAGCAGGTGCTGCATATAGCTTTAGGCAGTAGGGTAGGTGCCTGCTGTCTTCCTCAAAAAGAGATTCGGATCTCCGCATTGAACACATGAAACATGCTCGATATGTTACGCATGAAACAACTCGACCATTGAGCACTGCAGGAAGGATGAAGCAAACCCTAAACCTAAACCGAAGCCTTTTGCGAGCTGATCGAAGGCTTCGTGCGATGAGGGGTTTGCGGATGAGGGCTCGGGCTCTCTATGCTGAGGTTTTAGGGCTTACGGCTTATTGTTGAAGTATCTCTCCGTCGTTCACTCGGAGTGTCTATACCTATATCTGGCTTCGGGGTGAAGTATCGTTTAATTCCCGAAGGGTCCCAGCATAGAAATAGTACCGACATTGGGGCCTACAGCCTATAAGTAGTACTTACTTGGCGCTATTTGGAATCTAAAAGAGTTGTCCATCCCCAAACCCTAGACCCTAAACCCTAAACTCTACAAACTCTGAAACCCTTAACCCTAGTGTGCGGGCGATAGCGCTCTGCCGTCTGAGTGGGAGGCCTTACTGCTTCTCCGAAGTGCATGGTGAACCCTAAAGGGTTCATGTACTCATGCATCGTATATACTTTGGCCCTGAAGTGCTCCATTTATACATACTTTTACGGCCCGAGTACATGCTATATATGGGTATAACCCCGAACAGAAGACCCTAAACTTAAGCCCTACACTTCAACCTTGAACCAAGACTAACACATCGATACACTGACTGACTTTAAGTCCTCAGCCGTAAACCGGAAAGAAGCTATCAACCCAAACGCACGAAACTCTGACCTTTGATACCAAAGATCCCAGACCATGGTGCAACCATTGTGAGGTGAAGTCACTGAATATCTACTAAGAGCCTGAGAGCATGTAGAAACGGATTTAACAAGCTACAAGCCCCTCCAGGCCCGATAAATTTGTGAACAAGCCTAGAGAAACATGTCCCCTATCATGGGGATCCACAAGACTACTTTTCTGAGGGTTATACCGTTATAACCTATAGGTTTGGGGTTTAGGGTTGAGGATTCAGGAGTCAGGATTTAGGAAGGTTTCGGAGAACTGCCTAATCCCCCTGTCAAGGCTCCAAGAACTCGATGATGGCCAGCGACTGCCTCAGCGCATGTGTGAGCCGGAGTTTTAGGGTTTAGGGCTTAGGATTGTAGTCGTCAAGTTACATTGCTAGCTATAGAAATAAAGCGTCAAGGCATTTGCTAGATGTCTTCAAGTGATGATAAAAACTTAAAACCTAAATCCTAAACCCTAAAGCCCTAAAACCCGAAACCCGTCCAGTGTATCAGACTTGTTTTCACATTAAAACCCAAAACCCTAAACCGGCTAACCGCGAGGTTCAGGATGCAGGTCTGGGCTTGGGGGATAGGGAGCTTATAGGACTGCGGGGTTTAGGGTTTAGGGACGGTTGATGATATAAGTCCTGCATTAACCCAAATCCTAGCTTATATGACAAAGGGTTGGCGTGCTGGCATTGCAAATATCTCGGCCCTGCCTGCACGACTTGCTACTTGGTTTGTGGCCTGGTTCTGCTTGTTCCTAGCACCTGAAACCCCAAACCCTACAGAGGCCTGCCCCGAATGGTACTACCAGAACCAACACCCGCAGCTACCCTTTAAATAAGAGCCGGGGTGCCAACTTTTCAAGCCGAAACGGCCTTCTATTAAAGGGTACCTGGAGGTACTGGAAAGCCTCCCCAACCCCTAAACTCTAAAACCCTAAGCCCTAAAACCTAAGCCCTACACCCTAAACCCTAAACCCTACAAGCTGAACCCTAAACCCTAAAACCTAAACCTTAAACCCTAAACATCAACTCCGAAACTCCGAAACCCTGAGCCGAGACGGCCTAGCAGAACACCCACGGATAGCAAAGGGTGCCTTTAAGGTTTAGGCTTTAGAGTTTAGGCCCCTTTGCAGGTCTTTGAGGTTCAACTCTAACAGGGTTTAACGGTCTAGGGTTAAGGGTCCTAAACCCTAAACCCTAAACCCTAAACCGGTACTGGGTCTTATTACTTAGAACAGCGTTTTGGGGCCTTTGCTTGGGTCCTTCAAGGGCTTCACGGTTTACCTATAGTTAGGGTTTAGGGTTTAGGGTTTAGGGTTTAGGGTTTAGGGTTTAGGGTTTAGGGTTTAGGGTCTCCATTGTAGTTCCTTTTTGGGGATGCCTTATAAAATCCTTAATATATAATTGGTTAAACCAAAAAAGGAACTACAATGGAGACTACAGGTATGGGTGCAGGGACTCAGGAGTTTAGGTGTTCAGGTTTCCGATTTGGGGGTTTGGGGTCTCAGGGTTTAGGGTGATTTGGGGGGTTTTTGGAGTGATTTCCGGTATACCCTAAACCCTAAACCCTATCTTGAGGGGGGGAGTAGCGCTTGAAAGTAGAGCTTCTCGATAAAAAGCTCATGGGGTGAAGGCTTCTTGAGATTAGCTTCAAGGCTTCGGGTTTAAGGTGAGAGGTTAGGGATAATGTAGGGGCCTGAATTAAAGCATTACCAATACTCTTTGAGGGGCTCCTTAATATAATTGTTGTGTAGTATACCACAAAACCCTGATCTAATTTTCAAGGCCCCTATATTAAGTTCCGGGTTTTGGATCTGTAGACCCAGACTCCCAAAACCCTGGGTTGGAACAAACATCCATTACAGGATTTTTTGCAAGGTTTATGCGGATTTCATGAGGGGTCTAGGGATTTGCGTTGGGCATGGCTGTCCTACACGCTAAACCCGTAATATAGGGGCCTTCATAATTAGACTATGGTTTTGCGGGCTCCTTATCACAATTATAGTATAATATACCCCAAACCCTTTTATATTAAACCCCCAAAAGACCTTTTGGACGGGCCACGTCAGGGTCTGCCGCTGGCCAGCCGCATCAGTGAAGGAGAAGGTGGGAACCTGCAACCGGGGTTTAGGGTTTATAGGGTTTAGGGGACACGGTGAATACGCAACACGAAAGTAAATGGAGGATCATAGGACTTAGTGAGTGAGGATCTTAAGTACATTAGTCTTAGTTGGAGTTCCAAGTAATTACAAAAGCTACAACTTTAACTACCTTATCACCCTAAACCCTAAACCTAAACCTTATAACCCTAAACCCTAAAACCTTATAACCCCCGTTACCGTAATAAGTCCCATGATCCTCCGAGTGGCCCAACAGAGCCCCAGCCTGACCGAGCCGATTGCTCTCCTGTACCTCGGTCTGTGTTTAGGGTTTACGGTATTAGGGTTTAGGGCTTAGGGTTTACGGTTTAGGGTGTTAGGTTTAAGGCTTAGGGCTTGAAGCTTATAGTTTAGGGTCTAGGGTTTCGGGCATCGGGCTACCTTGAGGTGATAGAGAAGGATGTCTTCAGAACAAGAATAAGCATAGGGTATCATGGGTATAGACTGGGGCTGTGAGTGGATGTTTAGTTTCTCCTTTGAGGCGTCTGATCGTTTATGGGATTCAGCGGGGCTGCCTAGGTCCGAAGACGGCTTGGCTCTTGCTTGGGCTTCGTTCGGGATGAGGGTTCTGCGTTGTGTCAATGGTTTAGGGCTCTGCTTTTGGACGAGTTTCAGACTTTGTGTTTGAGGCTTCAAGGTGTAACAGTGTAGGTCTAGCTAGTTCCTGTTCACCGCGCTCCTTGGTAACATCCCTCGCTATGGACATCTTGTGTACCAATGTGCCCTATATACATAGACACGGTGGCTGCCTCTTTTCATGCGGAAGTGTATGTATGTGCTTGTATACACGTATACCTACGCATGCCACTGGCTAGCTAAATGTACCCAGCACTTACATCCATTCGTCGCTACGTCGGGGTTTAGGGGCTAGGGGCCTCTCGACGGGGTTGTGAGTCTAGAGCTTGCTCTTTGGCCCTAAACCCTGAACCTCAGGAGTTCTCGGCCGTGTTGATATCGACTGGGACTACCTGGCGGAGTCCGAAGCCTTCGGAAACTTCTGAAGGACAGTGTGACAGCCTGAGCTCTTTGAATTGGATGTGGGGGCAGATTGCAGTAAACTTCCCTTTCGGACTATACTATTTTGGGTTTAGTGTTTAGGGTTTAGGGTATTCCACGGGATGCTACATGCAGCCTCCAATCTCCAAGGTAATCCGCTTTTAAGATGACCAACTTCATCGGCAGAATCCTGTAACCAAGAGACGAGACAGCCAACAAGCAGCTACAACGGGACCCTAAACCCTAGACCCCAAACCTATGAGTATTTCGAGCCATACGGACCTCTCGACTATCTCAGCGAAGCGGCATAAGCCGGGTCCTTCTGCTGGTCCTTCAGAAGATTTACCTCACGTCCAAACTGGGTGCTTGTCTAGGTTCCCTACAAACTGCATTAACTACATAGATACATGACATACATACATGCAACAAAATCATACATGCATGCATTCATACATTCATACATGCAGACAGACAGCCAGACCTACATCCAAGTGCCCAGGTTGAGGACAACAAGATAAAGCAGACACTGCTTCCGGCTGCAATCGCAGGGAAGAGGGAGGTAAGCCTGCTCGGTACAGGGATCAAGAAGGTCGCGTTTCAAAGGCTGGGGCAAGGCTTGAGAAATTCGAGTTTGCACATTTGCTGCAAGAAGAAACCCCTCTGGCAACTTACCCTGGACTCTAATAACCATAAACTCCTAACCACAAACTCCAAAACGCCGAACGGTAAACTCATAGTCGATGCTCTAAAGAGCTTTTAATCCTGAGAACATCCAAAACTCTGAACCTTGAACTCTTATCTGAGCCCTGAAACCTACATGTAAGTCAGGGATGCTGGCGCGTTATCGAACTTGACTCCGTGGTGTGCCAGTGCCTGGTCAAGTGCGAGTTCATTGATCTTTGGTTTAGGGTTTAGGGTTACGGTCTTAGGCAGTCATAGCTTAATTGATGTTTGAATTAAAACAACCTACTTGGGCCCCATAAGCCCAAGCTTTCAACCGCAAGCGTACTTCCCTAAGTGGTGAGACCCTACCTGAACACCAAGCTTTGGGACTTACAAAAAGAAAGCCGAATGAGGAACCCGAACAAAGGTAGACTCTTCAAATTCCGATCACCCTCAACCTGTGGGCTTTCTGATTTATCCTTAATTACGGGTCTCTGGGGTGCTTGGTTTTCGATCAACTACACGCTTTGTATTGCAATGGTCGCTCTGTCAAGGTACCCTTAATGATGGGGGTCTCTCTCCTACTGCTCAATGATTCAAATTTGTAAACAGAACACCCAACAGCAAAATGCGCAACAGAGTACTACTGAGGGAACTGGGAGGTTTTTCTACCAGGGTTTTACACCATCTTCTACCAATGTAAACAGACTACCGTGCAAAGAACAAGTCCTAAACCTGCAAAGACTCTTGAGCACTAAATGCTGAAAGCCCCAAACCAGCCCAGACCCTATATAAAACAAAGCTACTGACTCCGCGGGCTCGGGGTTCAAAGAGTGAACAACGGTTCAAATTACGTGATCCTTCGGTACGCGACATCTGAAACCCTTACGAACCGCAACCTCACTCGCAAAATCCTAACCCTGCACCCGAAGCCACGCCTAAAATAGATCTTTAACCCGTTAGACCCTGAGACCAGCTCAAACTCCAAACCTCAAACCCAATCTAACCACAGAACCACTATAGAACTCATACGTATACGCCCCTTATAGAGCCGTCCTTCCGACTACTTGTGAATTCTGGGTCGGCAGAAACACTATGTGAGGGCTGAGGATTCGGGTTTACGGCTTAGGGTTTAAAGTTTAGGGTTTAGTGTTTTGGGTTCAGGGTTTAGAGGTTAGGGTTTGGGGTTTAAGGGTTTAGGGTTAGAGCGGCCATGCTCTAAAGCAGCACCTTTCTGCGGGTCTCGGTCGTAGGTCCTATGGTTGATGATATAAATCCTGCATTACCCTTCATAAGGAACATACCATAATTCCCATAGTTTAGGGTCCTTAAGGTAATGCAAGATTTATATCATCAGCAGTAGGTTGGGGGCTTGGGGTTTAAACTGCTGGAGGTTTAGGACTCTTTTCCTTTGCCTTCAGGCTTCATGACTAAGGCACATACTCCCATCTCCAAAGCCCTAAACCCAAAGTTCGGGTTTAGGGGTTCAGGGTTGAGGGGTTTAGGGTAAGTTTAGGGTTTAGGGTTTAGGGGTTTGGGGTTTAGGCTAAGTTTAGGGTTTAGGGTTTCCGGTTTAAGGTTTGGGGTTTAGGGTAGGTTTAGGGCTTAGGGTAAGTTTAGGATTTAGGGTTTAGGGGTTTAGGGTTTCCTGACTTGAGGGCCCGAAGTCAAATCATGCAAAGCCATCCAGCCAGAGGACGATCCGCACACGCCACGAGGCGCCCGATCGCCAGTAGCCTCCCGGGCAAGGACTTCCTATGCGGCTTTGGGAGTTAAGGGTCCAAGAGGGGTTCTTTTAAGGATCTTAGAAGGTTCTTAGACAGGCTTTCCGTAGTGTTAAAAGGCTTCTATAAGGCTTTGTGTGCTTCTCCCATTTAGAAGGACATGTTGCTTCAAGTAGCTGATATCGTAGCTGTTGTTTTCGAAAGCACCGTGCAATGACTTAGGACATCGCTACTTGGTTTACATGCCTAGGTTACCGTGGGAGTATATGATTATTAGGTACATGGGCCATTGGGGAAGGGGTTTGGGGTGCAGTAAATGATCGTATCGTTATAACATGGTTCCCTCGGGGAACGTTTTTGTAGTTGTTCAGGATTGCATATTCTTTGGAGGGTCGGGGAGGGGAGCATTTTGAGTTATATGTAGTTGTTCAGGATTCGATATTCCTTGGAGGGTTGGGGGCTCTGAGTACGTAGGTAATAAATGTAAAGGTTCGAGTCTAGGGTTTAGAGCTTGAGGTCCGGAAAGTAAGTTTTCATAAGCGGAGCAGAGTTATGAGCACAACTCAAGGAACCCTTCTTTATCTTACCTACCCCATAAGCCAGGAAAATAAAAGGATAAACTTTCAGGTTACTACTAAACTGTACTGGTCCAACAAGTTTAAAGGTTGGGAATTGGAGAACTCAGTTATTGGGGTGGTCCTACTTATGACCTGACTGAATAACTACCTCCTTACTGATGCTTCCCGAGAATCCCGTCGTCGCCATAAAGGTTACCCTGTGACAAGGCTTTACCCCGAAGGGCCCAAAAGACCTAACCAATCTTTACGGTTTGGGGTTCAGGGTTTAGGATTTAGGCAACCAATTGGGACTTTTTTTCGGATCGTAAACCATTAAGTACTTGGACGCTTAGGTCACCCTAACATAACCTAACTATTTATGGTCTGATATTTTGCTCAGCAGGGGCAAATAAGCAGCGTCTTTGGACCCTGAACCTCTGCATGCCTTCTTTGTGCGCAGAACCCCAATAATTGGTTGGGTACTTGCACCCTGAAACTTTGGGTACCCAGGCCACCGGGAGGATCCAAAAAAAGGATCCCTTCAGGGGATGCCTAGAGTAGGGTTTTGGGTCCCAGTATAGCATATTTCTAGTAAGGAACCCTAACAACAATACTGGTAATTTTTTGGGCTTCTATATTATGCTTTAGTAGGTTACCGTTATAGAAGCCTTATAGAAGGTCTATATACCTTATGGAAGCCTTATAGAAGTCGGGACTTGGGTTTGAGGGGTTCTTGAACCCAGCAGAAGAAATGAGGAGTCCTGGTTTAGGGTTTACGGTGCAGGGTTTAGGGTTTATGGTTAAGGTTTAGGGCATCGTTACTTGGAGGAAAAGGCACTTCGAAAAGTAAGGCTGAAAGTACCTGAGATGGAGTTATAAGTAACTGCCCTAGACTTACTGAGTCCCATGACCCTCTCAGGAACCTTGTAAGGATGCCTGAGCTATGTTTAACGTCTGTACCACGGTTTCCTCCTGCAACTGGTACTAGCTATACCCCACCCGGTCCGAAATCCGTACTGAGAAACACCCGGATAACCCTCATGCAGGGGCCTTAATAATTAGAATAGTGTTTTGGGGCCCACTATACTCTAATTATAAAAAGGAATCCCAACCAAAATAGCATTGGCAAAGATTTATGCCCCTATATTAGACTCATGTCGGACATGAAACATCCACCCTGGACAATCTCCGGAGTTTGAGGTTCAGTCAGACATTTACATTTATCCCGTCATTGTCCCCGTATGTGGCTTGACGCCTTTCAGTTCAGCTTCACGCAGGGCGCACACTGCAGGCTCTGGCGCTTGTGCAGCCTTGCAAAGTAGGAAAGGCCCTAACTAATTACACAATGCAAACCCTAAACCTTTAAACCTCAAAATCACAAACTCAATGCCTTGAATCCAAACAACCCCTCCGAAACACGACCCTCCGATAGCAAACACACCCAGTGAAACCCCAGAATCCGAATCCTACACTCCTCGTTCGGTTGCAGGTCTTACTTCAAATTTCGTCCTGCAGGTTCAGGGTTAGGGTTGAGGGTTGAAGGTTTAGCTGAGTTTAGCATTCAGGGTTTAGGGTCCTGCAGGTTCAAGCTTCATGGCGAAATCGGTGCCCACTTGGATGTCCTCCAGGCTTCCCAATACTAGATGATAAAGATGGGTTCTGGGCTCATGAAGATTATCACAGGGGCTATGGGGTCACCAACTATACTCCCTCCTTCACAAGAGCCTCCAGTAGACCCGAGACGCCTTGAGACTAAGACCCTAAGACTTGCACCCTGAAGCTTAACTCTCTCTTGCCATGCACATTGCCAGAAGAAATGCAAAGGGTTTCGGGTGCAGGGAACCTCAAACAGTACACCCCTGCCGGCTGAAGCCTCCCAGTGCTTATCCTCCTGCGCTCTGACAGTATGCTCGTAGATAAGATCCTCCAACTGTTCGAGCCTCCTTGGGTCCTACTGAAAGCTTCGCAAGAGTAGGTAGGTAGGTAAGTAGGTTCGGTCTGGGGTTGTCACTAGCGTTAGTGGGATTACCCTTCTTGTACTTCTAATCTAGCTACGACACTCACGTTTCCTCCTAATGCCCTGGCGCAGTGCCCTAAACCCTAAACCCCACAACTTACCACCTAATCCACCAAAAAGTAAGTCCAAGCCCATTGGGTCTAGGTTTGTGTTTGGGAATTGGATTCAACCCCCCATATTTCGCTGGAAGTTTTGCGAAGTTAGAGGCCAGCTGAACCGCCATAAAGAATACCGGCGTTCATCATCCGTTTCCAGTAAGGTCATGGACCGAAACCCACATGCTAACAGGAGACAAAAAGTAGTAGCCTTCGAAAAGAGTATGGTTTGTACATGGGTTGTGTAAGGAAGGTTTTTCGTTTTCTTGTTAGATTGCTGAGGAACCTAACGTTCGCAAGGATTGAAAACTATAGTTCAGTATATTAGTAAACCATCAACCCGAATATGCCCATCTGGAGCCCAGCCGAGACCCGTGAGAGGAAAGCTTCCCTAGAGATGAACTTGCTGGGCGACGTGCTCAAACTCCAGTTGCAAGCGCAGCCTTTCTGATTACAGTATGGGAGAAGCCGATTTGCAGCTTCAACTCCTCACGCTGTAAACTTGAACTCAGACTAATTAAAAACTGAACTCGAAGTCCTCCAAGTTGCCCCCGAACATAGCCTCACCATGCTTGCACACCAGGGAGCATCCCGCGAACCTGCAGGTAGCACCTGCCGACCGTCGAGGATCCCGAGATATCTTTTTGCTATTCTTTGCGGCGGGTTGGTGGGGGATGGGGGTGACGTCCAAGGCCTGCAAGTCATTTCTACCGCCCGGAGAGCCCAATGCTGCAATGCCCCACGGATTTTAGCGTTTGCTCCAGCACTTAAATCTTTTCGGTCTTCAGCCAGCGCGACAACCCGAAACCGTAAATCCTAAACCCTAAACCATAAACCCTAAATCCTAAACCCTAAACCATAAACCCTAAATCCTAAATCCTAAATCCTAAACCCTAAGGGGGGAGAACAACTTCCGGAGCAGGGCCAAAGGTGTCCTTTCAAGTAGTGCTAACCCTTAACTACAGGAAATGTGTTCGATCATACTAGCCCTAAGGGTCCATTTGTCAAGTTGTAAAATATACCTTGTCCACAAAGAAGTCGCGAGAAAAGTACCTTAGGGCCAACTTATATGATGCTTGGGTACATGGACCCCTGCATTAGGGTAGGAGCATCTTAGGAAAATTAATTGCTTAACCTATGTGGTTCTCTGGGCAAGGTTCCTGCGATGGCTTGTTTTGGAATTAATGCTCTTGGGGTCTGGTATCCGCATTTTCCTGCATACTAAGCCCTAGCCCCTTAAACCCTAAGCCCTAAACCCCAGACCCTAAACCTCAGAAACCTAAACACCCTAGACCCTAAACCCCAGACACTAAAGCCTGCCTCACCGCTGCAGTCGCCGAAGCCGATCCTGTAGCCGTCGCCCTGGCAAATGCCGCGCATGTTGCAGACCTGGAGCAGGTACTGAACAGAGACTCCCAAACCCCTTAATTAAGGAATATACCAAAAAAAGAATAGGAACCCTGATATGATTTAAGGTATATTCCTTAATTAAGGGGTTTTGGAGTCTCTGGGTGAATACGGTTTGGGGGTCATTTATAGCATGAGTATAGTAAGGAGCCTTCCAAGTAGTACTAGTAATAGGGTTTGGGGGTCCCTATTAATAAAATTAAAGTAAGGAACCCGCAGAGTAGTATTAGAAATTCTTTACGCCCCTATATTACTTTAGGGTTGAAGGGTTTAGGGTTTAGGGGCTAGGGGTCTGCAAACAGTAAGGCTCCAAAGGATACAGTAGTTAGGTGCGGGGCGGCTGAAACTGGTACCATTTGGGGGTGCCTCTTTTCAGAAACTCTGGGGCCAAGGCTTTTTAGGGGCCTTAATGATCAGGATCGGGTTTTGGGGACCCGTATGCCATATCTATAATTAGGAACACCCAAAATGGTACACCCTAACCCCTACACCCCAAACCATCATATTATGCGTGCCTTGGCAGTTAGGGCTGAGCTTTGGCTTCACGGCAAGGATTCGGGGACGTAGCAAGTAGGTTAAAAGCACGGCTGTCATACCTACGTCATGTAGTAATACCTTCCTCATGAAGAATACTTACAGCCTAGTCTAAAAGCAAGCTTACCCCGTCTAGCCCGACACCCTCTAAACCCAAAGCTGTGTACAAACCCGATGCCCCCCAAATTCAAAACCCTAAGCCCCCAAACCCTAAGCCCCTGAACCCTAAACCTTGCTTACAAACCCTAAGCCCTACTTGCCAAGTCAAATGAGACAAGGCGGGCCTCGACGCTTGAGAAGCTTTGCTGGTCAAGGGCTTAGGGTCTAAACTTAGGCTTGGCTTAGGGTTTAGGTTTTAGGGTTCGGGGTTTAGGGTTTAGGGTTAGGTTTAGGGTTTAGGGTTTAGGGAAGTTATTGCCATAGAGCATACTGAAGGGATCATGGGACTTGGTAACTAGGGCCACTAGGGGTACTAGATAAGGTAACTATAGTCGAAATTACTGATAACTCCAGTTAAGGCACGTGTAGCTTTACTTACTACAACCAAGATCCTCAAGTAGGAGCAGATCTCCCTGAACTGAAACACCTGCAGAACACCCAAGCATTGAATCAAGGCTGGGTCAGTCAGAGAGTTCTGTTCGCAACAGCTGCCGTGCGAAGTTACAAGCACATCTATGATGTGTAGGTGTTCAGGAACAGCCTCTTGTATCCTGTCTGGTAACCATATCGCATAGCAGCGGCTCTGCACAGTAAAACCCTAATGCTGAATTCCTAAACACTGCAACATATGCCCTGGCCCAAAGTCCTAAACCCAAAACCCTAACTTTTTAACCCTGAACCCAAAACCTCGTACTACGGGCCCTTCTGAATCCCTCAATGGAAGCCGCAAAGGAGCGCGTATAGCAACCGCCCACGTCACTGAGGGTCCTGCATCGCCGTCCTGTAGAAACTTTCGGCTGGCGCCGTCTGCCAAGGGAATCCTCATAATGTCACACAAGTTGAGGGGGTTCTTTCAGGGTTCTTTAGACGCTGCTTTAAAGTTTCCAATAGAGTTCTTGTGTTACCTTTAATTTCGGGTGTCATGAGTCTTTCTACAGCTCTTTTTAGGCTGATAATCAGGATCCCTTTCAGTGATCCTTTGTGGGTTTCCAATGCTGCGGAGGCTTGATAAAAGTTCTGATGTTCTAGAATTCAAGGGAGTCTTGCGTGTTCGGGGTTAGGGTTATAAACCCTAAACCTTACACCCTAAACCCAAAGACCCTACACGCTAAGGATTTATAGGACGTTTTGGGTTTCAGACAGTCCGGGTTCTCGGGTTTGGCTCCTCAAAAGCAACCGTGGATTTACCACCATTGAGCAGGGTACTTGAGAACACGGTAATGAACTTACACTACAAATTGTATGTATCCCTTTCTATCATGGCACCTTGGTTACTGAACCCGGGGCTTCTAGTTCTTGAGCTGCTGCTTTGGGGTCAGACCACCAAAATCGAAGGCTTAAGGCCAAAGCCAATGGTATGGAGCAGGTGGCTGTCGTGAACTGGGGGCCCTTCCAGGTGTCCCGATTGCATGGTGAACGGCTACGCCTGAACTTCAGCAGGCAGAAAATTAGATACACATTTACACAATACGAAACTAAATCGTGATAGTTTGAACCACTACAGAACACTTAACATACTTTACCTTCAACGAACCCTTACAGAACACTTACACCACCCTGACCGAACACTTATATGCCCTTGCAGGACACTCGCAGACTCAGAATCCTGACAGAACCTTTCAAGAACCCTGAAGAACTCTTAAAGCAGCCTTATTTCAATCGCTATCGAACTCTGACAGAAAATGTGAATAGTCCCTGCAGAACACGTCAAGGAACCCGTGCAGAACCGTCGTAGAACACTCAACCCCCCTCAAAAACCCTTCTAAAACACTGTCGAACCATTGCAGAGGCGGTCTAGAACACTCAAAAATCCTTGAAGAGAACACTTACAGAGCCCTTGCAGATCACTGGAAAAACAGCGCAAGGCACGCTCGGAATCAGTTAAGGGCACCTTATGGAGCACTTCAAGCGTGCTGACAAGATCGTAAAGAAGCCTTGCCTTACCCAGAGGGTCCACACACATTACCATTATGGAATGAGGTCCCAAAAGACCATCCCTATTATGTGTTTTGGGAACCTAATTCCATAATAGTATATATGGACCCTCTTGGTTGCTAAACCCCCACAGAAACGTCCTCAAACCCGAACCGAATACCTCTCACGTCATCTCTGCCGCCGGCCGGCTCGTGTGCGCCTCTCCACGAGAGTTCCAGCATGGAGCCGTAGCTCCTCTCTGCCATCGCTGAGGGTTTAGGGTGTAGGGCTTGTAGGGTTTATAGGGGTTTAGGGGTTTACCCTTTTTAGGGCTTAAGGTTTAGGGGTTTGGGGGTTTAGGGGTTTAGGTTTAGGGTTGGCTACGGGGCATGGGCTCGATAGTGCTTTTCGGGTGTAGGATTTAGAGGCGCTTTGTGCAGGGGTACATGTCGCTAGAGGAACGTACTAGCTGGCGTCTGGCGTTCCTTTGTTCGGGAAGGTTCTTTGTCTTCAGGAATCTTAAGCTTAATTTCAGGGTTCAAAGTGTGCCCTAGAGCTCAGACTGTTGGGTGCCGCGAAGCCATCGAAGCCAACCTTGATAAGCCCCAAAGAAAGCCGGGTGTAGGGTTTAAGGTTGAGGGTCCGAAATGGTACCACCCTTTCCCCAAGCTCCTAAAATCGTATATAAACCTCGAACGAAGAACCCCAGAACCGTGAAACTCGAAACCTCTGTGTAGTTTCCTCTTCCCTAAATCCTTGAAGAACCCCTATCACCCTAAACCCTACAAACCCTAAACCCCCAAACCCTAAACCCCTAACCCTTAAACCCTAAACCCTGAACCCTAAACCCCCGAAGCGTCCTCGGCTCGGTTCCGGAGATGGTCCCCGAACCTAGGAGATCTCCCGGCGCCTCGAGCAAACGCTGAGGAGACACTGCAGAGTGAACATCGCTTAGGGTTTGAGGATTTAGGGTTTCAAAGTTTAGGGTTTAGAAGTGAGACTATTGGGGTTCCTTTCGGGGCACCCACAAGGATTTATATCATCAACCGCAGTTTAGGGTTTTAGGGTTTAGGGCTTATGAGGGTTTAGGGTTTTGGTTTTGGGGTTTAGGGCTTACAAGGGTTTAGGGTTTTTGGGCTTATAAGGCTTTGGGGTTTTAGGGTTTAGGGCTTATAAGGGTTTAGGGTCTAGGGCTTAAGGTTTAGGGTTTAAGGTTTAGGGGTTATAGGTTTTGGGTACTTGCCTTGAGGTTCCATGTGCCCAACAAGTATATACTTTGGCCCTGAAGTACTTATCTAGGGACGACGTTAAGCACACAGTATAAAACATGGACCCGTAACATTGGAGGACCAAGGGATCTAGTACTAAGGTTCATTGACTTATAACTGTTATTACTGTACTTATAGCCTTACTTACTAAGTCCCAAGATCATCCAGTGAGTCTCCATTGCAAATGGAGACTATATTTTGCGGTATCATATACTGTGTTGGGTCTGAAAAATAAGATGAGTATTACACTTATGCAAACTTAGATATAATTAGGGATTCTCCGGTCAGGCGCCGGGCGCGGAGCAATGGGCTGCTCATCCCAAAACCACATACAGCAAACACTACCTGGACCCTATAAAACGTGCCTTTTAAGGAGTTATGTATACGCAGGCAAACCATAAAAAGGAACCCCAAAAACGTAGGTTTGCTAACGTATCGCGTCTTGCTCTAGCGACGACTTAGGTAAAGCTTAAACCTGCAGGATACGCGGTTTACGGTTAGGGATAAGCTAGTGTCAGCATGACCAATCAAAGTGCCCGCAGAAAGATTCGAGAAACACTCAATAAGTGCCATAACGTACTCCCTGCGTTAGACTCCATGTCCCGGCTTGAATAATGGACGATTTTGCTTAATATTGACTCTTACACCCGAACGTTACCTAACCCCCGAGAACCCATACCCATGTTTAAACCACAAAGTCTGAAACCCCACAGCGTTCAAACCCCAAACCTTAGAAGTTCGGTCCATCTGCTCTTGGTCCGTCGGAGATCCGTGCGGTAACACTCTCTTCCTCAACAACCAGGCCCAAAAAAGTTCAAACTTTTTAGGATAGACTTAGTATAAATATAGAAGGCAAAAAAGTTTAAATTTCTCCCATCGGCTATCTAAGGGTAAATCGCAATGGATCCCGCAGGGACTCCCTTGGCTTTCGTCCACTAGCACCTGTGGATGAGCCTTTGGTAAGCCACAAGCTTCCACTCTGGCACCTCCAGATGCTGCCCAGCACCAGCAGCAGTCTGAAAAGGCCCACTTCACTTGTTGCTCGCAGAGCTGCCTCCATGGATGCCAAAATTGCTTCCCTGGGTATTTGCAGGGTGTACAGATGAGGTTGCAACTCCAAGAGCTTGTGGACCACGAACTCCTTCAAGCCAGCCCAATCTTCAAGGATGCAGCTCAATCTGAACTCAACCCCCATCCCTCCCATCCTATCTTGGCTAAGCTCCCTCATCATCGCCACCCAATATCGATGACTGCATCTTCCAAGTACTCTTCCGGCATGTCGTCTACTTCGGAATCTTGCCAGAGTGGTAGGATGCAGTCCGTGAAACCGGTAGTTTCATTCCAAAGCCAAAGACCCACAACCTGAAGTTGTGGGCTCGCATGGCTTCTTGGAGGATGTCCGCCAACTTGCTGGTGGAGCACTGCCTTGGGCATTTGCCCAGATGGCGCTTGGTGATTTCTGGAAGCTTCTCTCGGGGCACGAGCTCACTCATCTGAACCAAATACACATCCAACACTGTCACAACTAACTGTTCAAGTCGCACAACTGCACACACACACACACAGAGCAGTTTCGGCTCGCCCACACAATGCACAAACACTCTACAGCCCTACCTGCAGACTATATCTGTTTTTAAACTTATTGACAAGCCCTGCCTGCCATGATGGTGCGCAGGGCCTCGCACAAGCATTTGCAAGCAGACTCTTGGGCATCCACAGTCGCATGTGCTGGCCATGGGGTTGCGATCAGCATTTAAGGCTCAGCTGCCAACATTAACCCATTCGGGAAGTCAGTGCTTGCCACTTGTGCTTTGCCGCCAATACTCCAGCGAGAGCCACAATGGCGGAGTCCACTTGAGAGGCAGGGAAGGGCGAAGTAGTCGAAGTTCCAGTGGTCGTCGGCTGCCAGGTCGTATTTGCAAAATAACTCCGTCAGAGGCCTGGTATGCAGGCCCAAGGAGTCAATGTGTGAATGCTTTCGGTTGCGAGTTGACACTTCGATCCAACAAGAGGCCTTGCGCTGGTCATTGGCTGCCTGCCCATGGACTGCGGCAGACCTGCACTGCTGATTGCAGACATATATTTCGTGACACACTCGCACCCGATGGCTTCATTTGAGGCCTCCAGCTTCTCCTGAGCTTGGGCCCTGTCTTTCAACATGCTTGTTGACTCCACCTGAGTAGGCAACATGTTTTTGTTGGAAACCCAGAGGCACACGACACCTTGATATTCACTTTGATTCCCGAGTCCTGAGTTCCCAGCCAGAAGGCTTCGGTGCAATCTTCTTTTCCAGGAGTGCCAATAAGCTTCTTTTCCGTTTGGGGCTTCTGCTTCTGCTGCTACCTGCACCAAAGCCAAACTCTTTTTAGACCGTTTGGATTCTACCACAAGCGCCAAACTAATTGGCAATCGACGAATGGGCCTTCTTCGGCTTCCAAAAGCCGAGTGACTGCGGGGTCATGGCTTGGAGCAGATGGTCCATGGAGGAATCTTTCTCCCCGTGGAGCTGCGTGCACAGACACGTGTGCTTGCTCAAGCGATGCTACAGGACACATCATCTCTGTAATCGGCCGGCACAGTTGACAGATCTGCCCAAGAGACAGCCATGCTTGGTGGCACACACTTCTTGTAGCCTTGAAAGCGAATTGCTTGAAGCCGAGATGCTTTCGTTTTGGTAGCAAGTTCGCTCGCATATACACTCAAATCCGGCAACAGGCACCCAACAACTCGCATCACAAGCCCCAGGCACACATGTCTGGCTCAAGTCACGCCTTTGACCGTCTGGCCTTGGAAGGTCCCTGCCTGGATCACAGGGGCCTTTCCTGGCGCCGTGCCTTTGACCCTGCGTAAGTCGGGAGCTGGCCACGGAGAGCTAACCAGCGGCCGTAACTCTTCTCCGGTGGAGCAGCCGGCGCTGAGTGTCGAGGGAGCCGCTACAGTCTTACGCTTTTTGGCTACTCGAAGATCAGCCTCGCATTCTCTGCTGCTCCGGGTGCGGCTGCTGTCGCAGGCTCTTTGCGCAGGCCTCAAGCCCCTACACGTAGTCGGCAGAAGCCCCGTCATCTTTTCCTAAACCCTGAACTCTATAAGCCCTTACCCTACGGCCCCAAACCCTAAACCCTGACCCTAGATGCTAACCCTACTTGGAGGATCATGGGACTTAGTAACTAGGGTTATCTTGTGTTTGCTTAAGAAGCCGGAAA